GCAGCAGCAGCAGCAGCAGCAGCAGCAGCAGCAGCAGCAGCAGCAGCAGCAGCAACAGCAACAAAGCCGTACGCGAGGTCCCAAACTCGAAGACAGCCGCAAGGGGCGACAGCAGCGCAGCACACCGACCCCATGAGAGGAGCAGGCAGCCCCTGCTGCGCAGCAGCAGCAGCAGCAGCACTCTGCTGCTGCTGCTGTTGCTGTTGCTGTTGCTGCTGCGGCGATGTCGCTGTAGTTTGCTGCCCTGCTTGCGGCATCACAACAGAAGCAGCTGAAGACGAGAGCCCTGAAGAAGGAGCGGTGGAGGCATTCATTTTTACATCGTGCTGTTGCTGCTGCTGCTGTTGCTGCTGTTGCTGCTGCTGCTGCTGCTGACCACGCCTGCGAGGAGTGCCTGCAGCAGGGCTTGTTTCTGCTGCACTATTAAGAAGGCCGCTATGGGGGCCCCATTGGCTGTGGGGGGCCCCAGGGGGCCCCCCAGCAGGGGGGCCCCCCAGAATGTCTCTATACACCGTGTTAAGTCTTTCAATCCATTCATCAGCATCAAAGGGTGGAGGTTGCTGAGCAGCAAAGGAGACAGGGCCCCCTGCGGGGCCCCCTGCAGGGGCCCCCACAAAGGAGACACCGCAAACAGCACAGCAGCAGGGGCCCCCTGTGGGGCCCCCCGAGGGGCCCCCCGAGGGGCCCCCTGGGGGGCCCCCAGAAGCAACACCGAGAGAATCTGAGCTGCCTGATGAAGAGACAGCAGGGGTCCTAGGAGCCCCTTGGGGGCCCCTAGGGGCCCCCAAGGGGCCCCTAAAGGAGAGCTCACAGACAGGAGAGAAGGCAGACCAGGTATCAAGGACGAGGCCCCTTCCTGCACCTGTAAAAGGAGACAGACAGACGAAAAGGAGACAGATTGAAGAAAAGGAGACAGATTGAAAGAAAAAGAGACAGGGACACTGCAGACTGAGAAGCAAATAATATATATATATATGTATAGATAGATACGTATATATATATATTTATTTATATATTTATATAGACAGAGAGACAGAGAAGGGATGAGACAGAGAAATGGAGACAGAAAGAAGACACCGCAGAAGTTAAAGAAAAGACAAATAAATAATAAACGAGAAGGAGAGAAAAAGAAAGAAAGGAGACAATAAGAAGCAGACAATAAGAAGGAGACAATAAGGAGACAGCAAGGAGACAGAGACAGAGACAAAGACAGAGAGGAGAGAGAGTGAAGCAGCAAAGAGACAGGTGGAGACAAATAAGGAGACACGCGAAGAGACAGAAAGAGACAAAAAGAGACAAGGAGAAGACAAAGAGAAGCAAAGGGAGACAAACAAAGAAGAGCAGACAGACAGAGACAAATAAGGAGACAAACAAGGAGACAGAAAGGAGACAAATAACAGAGACAAAGAGACAAAAAAGAGTTAAAAAGAGAGACAGAAACCCTACCAGACCCCAACAAGGAGGAGACAAACGGAGACAAAAGGAGACAAATGGAGAGGCGACAGAAAGGAGACAGAAAGGAGACAAAAAGGAGACAGAAAGGAGACAGAAAGGAGACAGAAAGGAGACAAATAAAAGAGACAAACAGACAAAAAAAGTTTAAAAAGGAGACAGAAATCCTACCAGACACCAACACAAAACGCGGGTCAGCGAGGGTCTCCACAGCAGAGGCCTCAAAAGGCAAACGCCTGCAGACACCGCAGCAAAAGGAGACAGAAGAAATAAAAGATAAAATATATTAAAGGAGACAGAAGAAATAAAAGATAAAATATATTAAAGGAGACAGAAGAAATAAGATAAAGTATATTTAAAAAGACAGAAGAAATAAGCTAAAATATACTAAAGGAGACAGAAGAAATAAGATAAAATATACTAAAGGAGACAGAAGAAATAAGATAAAATATATTAAAGGAGACAGAAGCAGCATAAAGAGGAGACAAACAATATCAAAAGGAGACAGAGAATATATGAATAAGAGGTAAAACAGACAAGGAGACAAAAACATAACAACAAGAGAGAAAAAGGAGACAGACACCGCAGCAGAAGGAGACAGAGAAATATAAATAAGAGAAGAAGATATAAAAGGAGACAGTAAAAACATCAAGAGGAGACAGAAAGACAAAAGGAGACAAAAAACAATAAAAAAGGAGACAGTAAACAGTATTTATTATCTAATGTCTCGGTAGATATAAAAATATATGTTAAAGATATAAACATATTTATATATTTATTAAGAATATATATACATATGTATATAAACAAATATATATATATATATATACGCATATATATATATATATATATCTTTAATAAAGAGGAGACAACAAGACAGAGAGAGACAATAGAGAGACAAAACAGACAGAGATAGAAAGGAGACAGAGACAAAAGGAGACAGAGACAAAAGGAGACAAAAAAGGCAATGAAAGGAAGAGAAGAAGAGACAAAGAGAGAGATAAAAGGAGACAGAAAGAGCAGCAGAAGGAGACAAGGAGATAGTTTAAGAGCTGCTGCACCTGACGAGCAGACAGCGACCATCAGAGAGAGACCATAGGCGGGCCCTGCAATCAGAGTGTAGAGACACTAGAAGCTCTTGACTTGTAGACTGCAGCGCAGCAAGAGGAGCAGCAACGAAGCATGCTGCTGTTGCTGCTGCTGCTGTCCCCCACTCAGGCAGCAGCACCAGATGGGGCAGCAGCAACGGGCTACGACAACCCGATTCTTCTGCTGCTGCTGCTGCTGCAGCTGCTGCTCTTGTTGCTGCTCCTCCTGAGCTTGCTGTTGCTGCTGCTGCTGCTGCTGCTGCACATCCTGGTGCTTGGCCAGCAGCAGCAGCAAGGCCTGCAGCAGCAGCAGCAGCAACTGGATCTCGTTCTTGCGTGGAGCATCTGTTTCCTTCGCTATTGCTTCTCTCACTGCTGCTGCTGCTGCTGCTGCTGCAGAGCTGCTGTTTGCTGCTGCGTAGCTGCCACACGTAAAGGTAGCCTTGCTGCGTTCCTGTGATGCAGAGAGAAGAGAAAAAAGAAAAAGATAAAACGGAGACAGAAGAGGAGACAAAGACGTCTGGCCACACCACTGAGGCCAGCCACTTAGGATCTAACATCCCACAATAGCAGCAGCAGCAGCAGCTGCAGCAGCTGCTGCTGCTGCTGCTGCTGGTCCTGGGGCCCTTCTTGCTGCTGCTGCTGCTTCTGCTGCTCTCCCTGAAGGTGCCGTTACGCTGGCGGGTGCAGCAGCAACCTGCTCTATTAGTTAACCTCAGGGATACCTAGTGCTGCTGTTGCTGCTGCTGCTGTTGCTGCTGCTACTGCTGCTGCTGCTGCTGCTGCTGTTGCTGCTGATAGAGTGTGGGTCCCTGAAGCTCTGCAGAGGACACAACAATTGTCTGCTGCTGCTGGTTGTGCAGCTGGGGAGGGCCAGCAGCAGCAGCTGGTGCTTTTGCTGCAGCTGGAGCTGCTGTTGCTGCTGCTGCAGATGCTGCTGCTGCTACTCATGCAGCTACTCTAGCTGCCAGAGGAGAAGCAGCAACTCCTGAATGAAATTGTTGCTGCTGCTGCTGCTATATATTATAATGTGTATTGCGGCACTGCATACTATGGGCCTCTCTTGCGTGAGGGAACCTGCTGGGGGCCCCAGTCTGCTGCTGCTGCTGCTGCTGCTGCTGCAGCTGCTGCTGCTGCTACAGAGGAGCAGCCTGTTAAGCCCTTTTAATAAATATTTTTATTTATATTTCCTTCATTTGCAGACTACCACAACCTTTACTCTAACCGCAGTAGCAGCAGCAGCAGGTACGCTTGCTGCTGCTGCTGCTGCTGCTGCTGCTGCTGCCGATGCTCGCTGCTGCAGGAAACCCCCCCTGTCGTTGTCTTGCTGCTGGGGGGCCCCACGGCCTTGTTGTGTGTGCAGCACCTTCTGTCTTTAGTTTTGTCTTTTGTTAGCTTTGTCTTTATTTTATTATCTCCTTGAGCAGCATTTTTAAACATCCCTGCTCCTTCAGCTGCTGCTGCTGCTGCTGCTGCTGCACCCTTGCTGCTGTCGGCTGGGTTTCGGCGGCTCCTACGTTTCACAGACATGCCCCGCGAATATCGGTCCTGGCGGGCTGCTGCTGCTGCTGCTGCTGCTGCTGCAGCAGCCTTGTTGCTGCTGCAGCAGCAGCCAGCAGCAGAAGCTTTTGCTGCAGGGGGGCCCCCCACCCCCCTGCTGCCGTCCTCGATAACTAGCAGCAAAAGATTTTTCTCTGTACGCAGCAGCTCTCCAGATGTTGCTGCTGCGGCACCTGTAGCTTCTCAGTCTTATCAACCCGTCACAGCAACAACAGCAGCAGCAGCAACAACAGCAACAGCAGCAGCAGCAGCAGCAACAGATTCTGCTGATCCTTCAGAGACAGGAGAAGAAGAGGTGAGCATCTCCTTCTCTGTGGTGTACATTGAGCTTTAAGGTGTATATTAACAGCCTTTAAGCTGTCTATAAATGTATATATAAAGATGCTCATATATAAAAATATAATATATATATATATATATATATATATATTATTTATTTATATTTATATTTATATTTATATTTATTTATAATTATATATTTATAGTTCGTTAGATGATGAAGTATGCACCGCGTATATCTCCTCCCAGGACTAAAACAGCAACACCCACTCCTGCTGCTGCTGCTGTTGCTGCTGCTGCTGCTGCTGCTGCAGGTGGGGGGTTCGACTCGAGTGACACGCAGCGATTTGCTGCTGCGTGTGAGTAAAGAGACAGGAGCCTCTCGTTCGTTAACAGATAAAGTGTTGCGGTCTTTTATATTTAATATTGTCTCCTCTTTAAGTGAAGGTAGAGATGTTTATATATCAAACCTCGGCAGCTTTAGCTTAAGAAGAAGAGGGGCTAGAGTAGCTAGAAACCCTAAGACAGGTGCTGCTGTTGCTGCTGCTGCTGCTACGTTCCCCGTCTTATCCTTCTCTAAATCTGTACGTGCTGCTGTTAGAGACACAATACCGTTAATGCATCATCAAACACAAGAAGAGACACCCGAAAACGAAGCAAACTCAGCCCCCACACACCAGCTGCAGCAGCAGCAGCAGCAGCAGCAACAGCAGCAGCAGCAGCAGCAAAAAAAACATGGGTCTAAGCTCTTCGGGTGGATGCCTTGAAAGCCGTCATCCCCTAGTTAACCCTAAACCCTAAACCCTAAACCCTTGAGGGTGCAGCACAGAGTTTGTTTGCTGCAATGCTGCAGCAAACTGCTCTGGCTTGGCTGAAGCTCAGCCTAAACCCTAAACCCCTTTTTAATCATTCTTGTCGTTTTATCTGCTGCTGCTGTTGCTGCTGCTGTTGCCGCCTCCACAGCCAGGAGCCGATAGGCCCAGGGTTTACTGGTGTTTATTAGGGCTTACTAGGGTTTGTGAGGGTTTAGGGTTTAGGGTTTAGGGTTTGTAGAACCAGCGGAGCAGGGAAAGGGCTGCTTAGGAGACAGGAAGCCTTCTTGGATGGGGCAGCAGCTGCCGGTGCTGCAGCAGCAGATTGAGGGTTTAAGAGATAAGGATTGCTTCACATGCTAGGGTTTAGGGTTTGGGGCTTAGGGTTTGGCGATTAGGGTTTAGGGTTTACACTCATGCTTCTGACCTGAAGCCTCAGGTCAGAAGCATGACTGAAAGATGTTCCTTCAAGATTATTCATCTGAGTCAGGGAATAAAAATTAGGGTTTAGGGTCTACGATTTAGGGTTTAGGGTTTAGGGTTTAGTGTGTGTCTCTAAGATAATTGATTTCTACGCCAGATAGCTGAGGTGTATGTACAGGAAATGCTTGAAGTTTATTTTCTTTAAAATTATATTTATATTTTGCATTTTCTCCCTTAATTTGGAGGGTTTAGGGTTTAGGGTTTATTAGGGTTTATTAGGGTTTATTAGGGTTTATTAGGGTTTAGGGTTTGTCTGCTAGCCACCAGCCAGTCGGAGACATCCATCAATCGAATGTATTGCATTATTTAAACATTTATTTTAATTAATTTAAGAAAACTGAGTTTATTATTTGTTTATTATTTAAATATATTTTTATTTCTTCTTCTTTTGCTTTTATATGCTGCAGCTGCTGCCGTGCGGCTTGCTGCGCATCGAGCGGTGCTTCCTGGTGTATGTACACCTGATTGTTTGTTATTAATTATTTGCTTTTCTTTGTGAATAATATATTATTATTTGTTTATCAATTAAAGGTCTAGACGACATGTGTTGTTGGTGGCCTTTAGGTGTTCTTAAGGTTAGAAAGGGTTAGGGTTTAGGGTTTAGGGTTTAGGGTTTAGGGTTCAGATTTGATGAACAGACAGTTGTCTTCTATCTATCTTCTTGGTGGGGTTGTTGTTATTTGATAGTCTTAATGGAGGTGCTGCTGCCTCTGCAGCGGCTGCTGCAGCGGCCTATAATAGGTGTGCCTCTGCTGCTGCTACAGCAGCGTCTTCTGCTGCTGCTGCTGCAGCAGCAGCAGCTGCTGCTAACAGCAGCAGCACTTGCCTTTGAATCAACCCCACACCTCAGCACCAGAGACATCAGCGGCTCTCCTTCTCTAATGCCTGTAGGGCCGAGTGCTGGGGTTTATACTTGGTCAAAGCAAGACGCCTACTTCGCTAGTGTTCCTAAAGGCACGCAAACCCTAAACCCTAAACCCTAAACCCTAAACCCTAGTTCGCTGCATAACGATATCAGCAATTTTCTTTTAAGAGGTGGTGTATGTTTTCTGTATGTGTTTTAGTCTACATATATATATATATATATATATATACATTTATATATGCATATATATATATATATATTGTTGGTTAGGGTTTTGAGGTGTATAGGGAGGTAGATTGCAGCATGTCTTTGTGTGTATGTGGCTGAGGTGTATTTGAGTTTTTAGGGTTTTGTTTGCTGCTGCTTCTGCAGAGTGTTATAAAGATATCAACACCTTTAGAGCAGCTCATCTTCAGAAGCCTTTAGGAAAGGTGTCTGCAGATAAACTGCTAGGAGACAAAGCAAGAAAAACTGTGAAAGAATTAGCAAAGGATGGATGCATATTGGGGGCTAAGGCCACCGGACAAGAGGCAAACCCTAAACCCTAAACCCTAAACCCTAAACCCTAAACTCTAAGCGTTTAACTCTAAACCCTAAACCCTAAGCAGCATTTAACTCTATACCCCAAACCCTAAGCAGCATTTAACTCTAAACCCTAAACCCCAAGCAGCATTTAACTCTAAACCC